AAGCCCTCGATGACGTCATCACCCCGCTGGTAGGCCAACCTTGGTTTCAGCTGCATTTCGTCGAACGAAATGATGCACAGCTTGTCCTTGACACTTGCTCCGGCGAACTTCTCTTTTATGAGAGCCAAGATAGCGTCATGAAAGCCAGGTCGCATCTGTATTTTTTCCATCTTCCTCCGCAGAGTTCGAGGATGGGGAAGGACGTACCGTTTTTGTAGGAACCGATACGCCCTGGGACCAAGGCCATATATAGTCCTGGGACCCTGAAAGTAGAGCGCGAGTGCTCGCACTTCCTCATCTTCATCAAATTTTAGACGAATTTCATCGAATTTCATTTAATTTTAGACCAATGTTAAAACTCTAATGCAATGAATATGTATAAATGCTCCCGTAACAATGTGTGCTAAAAGTTTCCAATAAAATATACGGTTACCATTTCAAAGTCACAGTCATAACTTGGCCCTTGAAGACGAACCATTCGACGATTGTTAAGAAAAAATGTATGAAATGTTAAGAAAATATATGAAAATGTAAACCCACGTGGAAAGAAATTCATCCGCATCCTCCGGATCTCCGGATATTCATCCGGCAAAATCCTTGATTTTTGGTTACACACGTGGCAATGCTAATCGAAGCTCCTGTCCATTCCATGTCGTAGACTATATATTCCGTGGATACAGTATTGCTTGAAATACGCTCCCGAATACTCCCGAAGAATAATGTTAGTAATGCTACCACATAATATTACTCCATGGTTATAAAATTATTGTCCGGACATGATAGTTTTATCACGAAGGAAGTAATTTTTACACCTACATGAGAATAGTTTTATTCTGTCGCGTCAATTTATCAGCCGTAATGGAGTATAAAAATTACCCTAATTACTCCACAGAAGTTTATTTTTATGCAGTTTTGATAAAGGTACTCTAGCTGCCAATTTTATTACCATCTAATGGGAGTTCAGCACAAATATATTCCAATGACCTTGTTTATCACTGTGAAATAAGCTAAAATTACCCCATGCCTCTTTGAGACTGATATAAATTTATAACCCGAAAGAATAAAAAGGACACGTGATAAAATTAGAAGATAAAATTACCACTTGCTAAAACACAAAAGAGATGATTATAGTACCAGGTTTAAGAATAACTTTCAAAAACGCCCTTAATGCAATGCAGAGAGTAAGAATACGCTACAAAACATAATCATTATATGCCATTGGTGCGTGATTATTCGCCAAACTGGAGTGGAAAAACTCCAAAAATAACTCTCTAGGTGTAAGTTTTTTTCAGTGTAGAGCCCTTTCGCCTGCGCTAAATCACCTCTGGAATTACAGTCCCCATAACTTTCCGGCCGGCGGCGACTCCGATCCCGAATGGGCCGAATAATTTCGCAAATATGACCCGTAAACCTTCATCAGCGTCAAAGAGAATGTGCCGGCGCACCGTCGAATGATTTAGACGCCACCACGAGGGATTTGTGATGGGCAGCCGTCGAGCGAGAGATCCGAACATCCAATGGGAACTCCATGGGGTGCAGGTAAGGATATGAAGCGATTCCCAGCTGTTCAGTTTTGATGATGAGTAGTAGATTTAAATGAGGAATATAGAACTTCAATTTTTCGATGACGTTTGCTTATTTCGTTTTCATACCTGTAAAAAGTTCGATGTTACAATGCCATTTTACTACTTTTTTAGTTAATAAGCTATCGTCCATGCATCTCGTCTTCTTCAAGATAAATCATAAGATGTGAAACAAGATGTTAGAAGACGATTCAGTTCTAACAGTTATTTGATATTTTTTTATAAACGGCTACTTCGTTTGCCATGCGTACGTACAGTGAGCGGGACAGTGGCGAGACCAGCACGCCATGCGGCACAGTATATCTACAGGCGCCCACTACTAGCGACATCTATGGGCCGAAGTGGCGTACTATCCGGTACAGCATACCTTCAGGCGCCCACTACTAGCGACATCTATGGGCCAAAGTGGCGTGCTATCCGGTACAGTATACCTTCAGGCGCTCCCTACTAGCGACATCTATTGCCGGGTAGATAATTATCCGGCGCAGCATTTTAACAGGCGCTAACCACTAGCGACATCTATAGAGAGGAATATGAGCATCCAACGGAAAAGAACAGAGTTGAGAGTTCCTGATTAAGTTCACGAGTGTTCGTTTTTAGTAATTCCCAAGGTCCGTTACCAAGTTCATTCGCTTCAAAAGGCAAACAATCAGGTCCCGCCGAGATTTGAACTCGGATCGCAGGATTCAGAGTCCTGAGTGCTAACCGTTACACCACGGGGCCGACGGTTCGCAAACGGCTGGCGCATTTCGGCAGCTTTTTGTGAATAAATAAGAAATCAAGATGATACAAAATTCAGACTCGGAGATAAGCAACAATGTTGGTTAGACATCCATATCAGGCTCATGTCACTCCACTTTTGATGACATCATAAGGGGGCCTCAGGACAATTATTGGCGCGGTGCGCCACAATCACTCCCAAGCTTCTTGCCAACAGCTGCATTTTTTGAAAATATTATTTTGAAATAAAGTTTCAAATATTGTAATAAAGTTGTCACTTAAATCTATACCATATCTAAAAACTTACTGAAAAATGATTTATTCATAGTAAAAATATAAGCTCGATGCATTTTTACGTTGCTTTCCTGCTGCTGCAGAGGGTTTTTAAATCGTCTTATCTTCAAAACCGGCCATTTCTTAGCATATTGCTGCTGTTTTTTGTCGCTAGAAAATTAGTTGGGCTTTCCATTGACATCAACGGTTGAGCGGTATGTGTAGAGTGCCATCAATAATCTTCAAATGAAATAAGTCATTTTTAAGTTGCAAAGGAATGGAGTACCCCTTGCGAGCATCAGGGGTGACGTCACTCAGGATCTGTCTCTGATTGGTCGACGGCGGAGTGACTGTACCTTCTATAGATGGCCTTGGGTGAGACAAGCTTGGTTAGATTCGCCAGCTGATCGCTTAACAACACCCTCTGGTACTGGAGTTAAGTTTCAGTGAACAACAATCTTTAAAAAGACATTTATCATTTCCTCGACAAACCTAACTTTCTTAGGATCCTAGTCTCTCTTAGAAGCTTAGGATCCCAAATTTGCGGTGGCGTTGCTAGTGCGTTAGCGGCTTGCGGTGCGGGCGTTTCAGTTTTGTGGCGTTTGCGGTGGCGTTGTTTGCGGAATGCGGATGGCGGCGGGCGTGCGGTTTTTTTTTTGCGTTTGCAGTTGTGTTTATTGGCGATCTTTTTTTTAATCTACCGTCCGTGGCATAGACGAGCACTTCCAGAGCGCATGCACATTCACATAGTAGGTACGCATCTACAGAGTACAAAACAAGCATTGTTATGCGATTGCCACCCTAGTTCAAGGTTGGCTTTAAGGGGTATATTATAAGGAGGAGCTACATATTATAAGATATGTAGCTCCTTGGCTAACAACGGAGCTACATATCTTGTTCCTCCGAGTCCGAGATAGTATAGAATAAGGAGGATAGAATCACAGCAATAAACGTCATATCACAGTGTCGATTAGCATGGCATCCTCCATGCAGCGGAGAGCAAACATTACCATCAGTCACCGGCGGCGTGCCGAAAACGCCGCGCCCGCGCCGGGTTCGCTCCGTTGTTTGTAGAGCGGCAATTCTGGCGCGCCGCCGCGCCGGATGTGCCGCTCGGCGCCGATGGCGGACCTTTGTCATTTTTATGGGCGGCGCCATAAATGTATTGCTCCATATTGCAGATAACCGTCTGACATCAACAAAATAAGCTTATTTTATCTGGGCAATAAAGCTTAATTTATGGCTCTCCGGAGGGGCAATTTGATCCTTATGAAGAGCATCAAAAATTTGACTTGTCTGCCGGGGAATATAAATGGTGCGAGTTAGGGAGGGCCCGGCAGTGTAATCACCACTGCGCGGAAATTGCAGCACTGCAATGCGCCACTGCCACCGCCGCCGCTGAAATATGGCAGCACCGGCCGGCTGCCAGCCGTGACATATGGCAGCGCAGAACGCCACCGTTGCACGCGCGCGGTGAAACGGTGCTCCGCGAGGCGTTAATAGCGGGGCAATGGGGCCGCTGGCACTGCCTAATTAATTATGGTGAGTGCCGGTAGTTAATTTAACGGCATGTGGTCGTGCAGATTTCCGTAACCAATTGCGCTAAAAAGTGTCTATTTAGACTCATATTGGGAACTTTATGAACTGTTCACGCTGTTCAAAAATTCATGCGTGAGACCATATGCAGTGTGAAAAGTAAACCATATGCAGTGTGTAAAGTAGAATATGTGTGGTGCAGTGCATTGTTCCTCGACAGATGCCACATATAATTTATTGCGTACTGGCAGGCCAACGTAGCGACACTGTCCATATCCATCGTGCATGGCATGGGAAATGCTACATCTATTTAAACCTAAGAGATTAAACCAATGTGTTCTGTGTACGATGAAGCTTCGAAGTACATACATATTTGTCTCCAGCGCATTTCAAAGTAAGCATTTCACGCTGTGATTGTGCTGTGTCTAAATGCACATATGTTTGCATTCATTTGACACGCAGCTGAACAGATGCGGACTACAAATGATTTGCCCCAAAGCGCAAGGCATTTTACGCAATTTGATACTTAATCTACGATTTCAAAACATTTTTAGAATAAGCATATGTAGTAACATTCTGTCACGTCAATAATTTGTCACATTATGTACAGTGTTGAATTGGAAACAATACTTTTCACCGTCGACAAATCATTAGTGAGTACTTGACCTGCTTGAAAAAGAGCGCAAGTGACCTCTCTTAAAAAAAATGAGGGTACATGCTACCAGAATCGCACGGTTCACAGCGAACACGTTTCTTCCATCGCGCGTCGCAGCCCCAGGCGATGCAGCACACTGAATATAAAACTCAACTGACCACAAATTCCGCCCGACTTCATGTTGTTGTTGTTGTTGGTTTTCCCTCCATCCGCGGCAGAGCCGCGGTGTAGCTTCAGCTCTGGAGGGCCCTGAAGGCGGCCACCAGGGCCGCCACCGTGTCGCCGCGCCTGACCTCCTCCACCGTCGGCAGTATGTTGCCGACCGCCGGGATTCTGAGGCGAACCCCCATCAGTCCCGGGCAGGTCAGCAGGATGTGTCGAGGTGTGTCGGCTTGCTCGCCGCACAGCGGGCAACGAGCTGCAGGGCAGTCGAGGTTCCTGCACTGTGGGCAGTCCGCAGATGGGTTTCGTCCGATGGAATGGAGAAACTGCGCCGAGCCGCTCCAGCGCCCAGTGCGGATCTGGTGGACGTCTACTGCTGTCGTCCTGTCCATGTTGGTGAGAGGTGGTGGCCATCTTGCACCCATAAGCTCTCTGTACCACCCCGTTGCGGCTTTGCGGTCGGGGTCCGGGTATGTCGGCCTGTCCCTTGCGGCGCGGTCTCTGGCGGTGCGGACTGCCGCTCGGTAGATGGTGTCTACATCGAGCATGACGTCATCTTGTGCCAGCGTCGCAGCCTCGTTTGCCAGGGCGTCGGCGGACTCGTTCTCTGGGATCCCGCAGTGGGATGGAACCCACTGGAGGGTGACCGTTCGGTCTCCGGCGGTGAGCTCCAGTAGCTGCTTCCATATGGCAGCGCCTCTGGCCGAGCGCTGTGCCGACGGACCCTCTCTCAGCGCCGCTATCGCCGACAGCGAGTCGGTACATATAACGACTGGTTCTGGTGCGTCCCGCTGGTGTTCCAGGATGTGGTCCAGCGTCACCTGCAGGGCGACCATCTCCGCTCGAAAGCTGGAGCAGAGTGTGCCCGCTGGGACACGGAGCTCGGTGCGGCTGTCATCAGCTCCGACGATGAGGGCGCCAGCCCCCCCGCGGAGGATCCCGCCGCTCGACGAGCCGTCGGTCCACGCCCACGTCGCGCACTGCGTCATGGACGCCAGGTGATGGAGCGCTGCGTCTCTCTTCGTGGACCTCGCCGGACCGGCGGGCAGCGCGCCAATGCTCAGGTTGAAGGTGATCTTGCCGGTGGGCGTCCACGGTGGCGGTCGCTCTGGTAGTAGGGCCTCAACCGGCAGCTCGACCCGTAGCTCCCGCAGGGCCTCCCGGCCTACTTGGCGCCACCCCGTGACCAGCTTGAGGCGCTGAGGGGGGTCAGCCATGGCGACCGCTCGGAGGGGATCCTCTGGCGGGAGCGCGGCAGCCTTCGCGAACATACGCGCCGCTAGCGCAGTACGTCGTGCCGCGACAGGCAGCATGCCAGCCTCGGCCGTCACACCGTGGTGTGGTGCGGAGTGTATGCAGCCCGTGACGATCCTCGCCACGGCGCGCATCTCCCGCTCCAGGATCTCGATGTTGGACTTGGACACTGCCGGCAGCCAGGCAGCAGCCGCGTGCTCTATCGCGCCGCGCACGTAGCCGTTTGCGACGGCGCGCAGCTGCTGTTCTTGCAACCCCCAGCTGCGGCCGGTGAGACGTCGGAGTTGGGCCGCTCGGGGCCGGACGCGCCGACGGAGACTTCTGCAGTGCGGGCCGAAGCTCAGCGTCCTGTCTAGCGTCACTCCCAGAAGTTTCAGCTCAGGTCCCCCTTCCACCAGTTGACCCGCCACGTGGATGTGACAGTCGACGGCGTCTCGGGGGTTCTGGGAGAGGACGAGCAGCTGCGTCTTCTGACCCGCGACCTCCATCTTACTCCGGCGGGCCCACTTCACGAGCGTGTTGGCCGCCAGCTGCGCCCGGTCCCGGGCCACGGCGATGGAGTTGCCGGCGCAGAGCGTCGAGGTGTCATCGGCGAACATGAATGGGGTTGTGCCGGGCAGGGTCTTGAGCGTTGCTACGAGCGGCGCCGACCATAACAGAAACAGGGTCGGAGAGAGGACACTGCCTTGCGGCAGGCCCGCCCTGTACACGCGCTCGCCACTCTTCGTGCCGTTGACTTCGACACAGGCCCTCCGGTCTCGGAGAAATGCCCACACCCAGGTGTTGTAGCAGGCCGGGATTCCCAACTCTGCAAGACGCGCCCTCAGAAGACGGTGGTCGACCCGGTCGTATGCGCGGGAGAAGTCGTATGCCACAAGGACATACTTCTGGGCTGCTTCTCCGTCCGGGACTTGACGTCTTGATGGCGGGCACGGCTTGAGCTGCCATCCATCTTGGACCTGCTGAGTTAGCCGGGCGACGACATCCTCGACGCCCCGCTTCTCGCGGAATCCGACTTGTTCGGGTGGGATCATGTTGCGTTCGGCGGCGAGGTGTGACAGACGGGTCGCGATCACCCGCTCGGCCAGCTTGGCTACGTGGGACGTCAGCGCGATGGGCCGGTAGCTCGCGATCTTCCTTGGGTCCTTTCCCACCTTGGGAATGGGCACTATAACAGCGCGCCGCCATTCCCGCGGGACCACGCCGGACTGCCACGAGCTATTGATGAGGTGAAGGAGGACTTCGCGCGCTCTCGGGCCCAGGTGCTTGATGTGCTCATTACACAGGTCGTCTGGGCCTGGCGACTTCTTGAGTTGCGCCTGCGAGATCTGTCGCGTCAGTTCCTCCTCGGAGAACGGTGAGCAGTAGCCGGACTTCCGCCCCCAGCACTCATGGCACGTCTTGACGTTGGACGCCTTCAGTCTGGTTTTGGTGTCGCGGTCCACCTTCCGGTCCCGCACCTGCTTCGATACGGTCGCATAGGTGCGGTTGAATGCGTTCGCCTTGTCCCGGTCCGACACGAGCGTCCGGTCGCCATCTTCCATCGACTCAGCGGCTCTGTGCTGGTCGTCGGAAGCACCCTCCCACATCTTCAACGTCTTGTGGACGCGGCCGAGGCTCTGATGTTTGTTGAGGGTGGTGGAGACATATTCTCTGAACTGTCTCTGGGAGACACGTCGTTCCACAGTCCTTTTTTCACTTATTTTTCGCGGAAGAACACCGGCCAGCTCTCGAAATTATGTGGAAAATTGACTTTCTCGTTTTCAGCAAGATTATGCATTGTTCAGCGCACAGCTGCTCCTGCAGGACTTAGGAACCGGAATCGGGATCATCTGAAACTAATAGCTTAGAGTCCACAGTTCCACAGTTCCACACGTCGTTCCCGACTTCATGTCGATGGACAGCTCGTGCATTAATGACTGGCGGCTACTTTGACAGCCGGAGGTGACAAGTCGGCATGTCAGGTGGCATCCATGTCGCCATTAGTCTCAGCATGTCGAGCAAACTTATACAATGACAGGTGACATGTGCCGCATAATGTCGACATGTGAACCTGTCGTGTCATAAATAATGCCAGGTATGACACGCTGCGCGACGTGCATAATTTAGAGATGTGTTTGAGATGCTGTGACTGGTACAGCTGTCACGATTTAGTGCAGTGGAGAACCTGTTGGGGCATTGCTGGCAATGCGGCTTCGTGCATATCAGAATGACGTGAGGTTGCCATTTTCGTAGACACATGTTGAGTTATGTTTGAATTAAAATACACATGTCACACAGCAGATGATTCAAACATGAACTGGCGCATGAAATGATTATTTGCTGACATGACTCTAAGTTATCAGTTTCAGATTATCCCGATTCCGGTTCCTAAGTCCTGCAGGAGCAGCTGTGTGCTGAACAATGCATAATCTTGCTGAAAACGAGAAAGTCAATTTTCCATATAATTTCGAGAGTTGGCCGGTGTTCTTCCGCGAAAAATAAGTGAAAAAAGGCATCAACAATGAATTGGGACTCTTAACCTTCGCCCCAGTGGGGGGCATATGTTATCACCCTGTCGCGTTTGTTTGAATGTGAATAAAAAACCGCGGCGCGTAGCGCCGCGCCGCTTGGGGTACCTTTTGGTACATCAATTTTGGACAATGTGTGAAATTTTTAACCCCAGGTCATGTCAGGTCAGGTCACCAGGTCAAGTTAACTGACCAAGCCTAAAAAAAAGTTTGCAATCGTGTCCAGCCTGCAGTGTTTGTCAGAAAGCTTTTAAACTTGGTGGATTGCATGCTGTTATGGGCGCCTACAATTTGTATATCTCGGATTTTTTCTTTATCCGTGACCTAAGGTCAGGTCAGTGGCGTGACCTTTCCATTACAAGTCAATGGAGAAAAATGAAAATGCCTCTAGATCCGTGTGTACGCATAGGAACAGTCCAAATATTTCAGAATCACAATGATTTAGTCCACTCGTGATGACCAAGGTGTCGTTTTTGCTGATAGCCTCTAGAAAGGTCATCCGAGGTCATTTGAGGCTACAAACAGATTTTTTCCAATAACTCGCGATTGGAAAGAGATAGAACGCTGGGGATGGTCTCATTGTGTTTGTCTTGTTGAGACGCATCGACTGATATGCAGCATGACCTTTTCCGGTCAGGTCATGACCTTGACCTGAGGTCAAATTTTCAAGTTGACCTTTCAAGGTCAAATTATTGTTCATTCGACGCGTCTCGGCGAGGGGAACACGATTCTGGCAATAGAAATGTCGTGGCTTTTTGCAGTCGAAAGTTATTGTCGAAAAACACTTTTCGTAAAAACAGCTATTTTTGGAGTTTTTGCCCTCTGGAGGCTAAACCGTTGACCTGAGGTCAATATTGATAATGACCTTTTCAAAAGAAGAGTTCAAAAGCTATCGATTGCTCTTCCATGCGTTTTTCTAGCTACCATAGTTCCTGAGATAGCGGCATGTTTTCTGAAAAATATAATGACAATTAGCAAATTTTGACCTTTGATGACCTCTGGTGACCCCAATATTGCTCCAAGGTGAAAAATGACTGAAAACTTTCAAACGTACTCATTGAGAGCAATCGACTGCTTTTTACCGCGTCTTTCTAGCCCTCTTAGTTTTTGAGTTAGAGGTGGGTGGTAATATATGTCCCCCCCCCCCCACTAGGGCGAAGTTGGCTGAGACCGCCACTGGGGCGCGGGTTAAATGATACGCCACTCGCTTTGTTAGCCAGAGATGGCTTCTGCATATCGAAACTGTCGCACTAGATCAACACGAGACAGACAGTCTCATGCCACTCCACACAAAGAGCATAGGCAACCCAATCGACTAAGTCCATCTGTCGAATTTGTCCAAGACTTCACCAGGCACACATTCTGTCGCCGATAAATTTTCACTCTGTCGAGATCGGCAAATAAACTGTCCGCTCCCCGGGGCTCCGTCAACAAATGGCTCTCTGTTCAGCGCCGACAAACGCGAGCAGCGCGCCAACCAATCAGCGCCCAGGGAACGCTGGATGCATCGTTAAGCTAGCGTGTTCGTTAACGTTTCAATACAGGGTTGTTGAAGGAATAGAACAAAGAGGGCGAAGACCTGCTTCCTGGTCCGATGTACTCGCAACTAGTTATGTATGTAGGCATGTGTGTGGGCCGAAGAGGATCAAAATATCGAAGCGAACACGCTGAGGAATGGATATTGTACCTACCTAGCCACCAAAATGCCAATTTATCATTACTTGTGATCCACCATTCATTTATTCACTCCCACCACTGGATTGATGCCCAGCAATTTATAAATTCAAATTCAATTGTTAAATCAGTAGGTACGACAAATATAAGGGAGCATTTTCAGTAAGCTAAGTTGATTTTCGAAGAAATGCATGGGTTCATAATGAAATTAATATCCATTTACCATAAGAAACATTTCAAGGACACGTTTACAATTAATGCGTGATCCGATGAAATATATAATAGCAATTGCGTAGCACGGCGCAATGTTTTAGACTGAAGAGTTTGCGTGCATCGAACGAAGCCGCTGGCATGGCTTGCGTGTCCACGAAAGCAAGGAGCTGAACTGTTTATTAGCTAGCATCATAAATATCCATTATACAAGTCTCAAGCAATCAAGCATATGGATATATATGCTTCAAACATGTTACCAGGAACACGCTTGTCTGTAAAAGTAAAATAACAACGGCGTTCTTTGTTGTACGGCATTTTCCAAAGTTTTGTTCGATTCAAAAGCATAAAACGCTCTTTGCTCTAAAAAAAATGCAGGGAAAATGTGTTATCTTAGTTACTAACGCTGGATTTTGTGCATCGCTAACCGCGGTACACTTAAGTCCGATCCTATCGCGTAACACCAGGATCCATAATCGTCCGGTAACAGCCAACACGGATTGCAAACCGATCCCGGCACTAATCTCACGTCAAATCACCGTCACCGTGACACGATTACACCTCACCTGAGCGGTAGACCAGTCTCCAATAAACCCATCACCGACCGATACCGCCCGCCGACACGACCCGCATCGCTCGCCGACACGGCCCATCGCCCAGCACGGTGACATCAACACCGCCGCCGCCCGTCTTTCTCCAGGGTTGCCGCCTGGCACCACCGTTCTTTGCGTTGGATTACCTGGGTGGTGAGTTATGGTGGGCTGTAAACCGGGGCGCAGACTGCGTGCACGACCGGTAAATCAGTCAGGGGGTGTCGGCCGAGACGCCGCGACCTGCACCCCGGCTGTATATCACGGGGACCACCGCCACTACCGCCACCACCGCCACCGCCACTGTCCGAGTGTCGGCGCGCGAGGGTTTGTGCGGGTGTGTGGGAGTGTCGGTGTGTTCATGAAGCTATACTGTCTTGTGAGCGGAGGAATAATATGTGATTTCAGTTGAAATATATGAAAAGTGCAACATTGAATCTCAACTTGAGAACTAGCTGTTTATTTTTCTGATCATAATTCTATGCTTCACTTTGCCTTTTAACTGAAGCAAAGCGAGACTTAATCGCTAATTCAATCGGTGTAGGACTATTCGTTCATAACACTGCTATATTGAGCAGTTCATCTCCCGCAAAAGTCAGAATTGCATGATATGCTTTTATTTCTCTTGGATGAGATTCAACCAAACCTGCCCGTCGATTTATGTGACACCATAATACAGATTCCCCAGTTTCAGGCCATTTTATGAAACTCACCCGTCAAATTGATAGTGCATGGCGAATTATCTAACACGCTGTAGTTAGTATCCTCCATATTTCTTCTCCATCATAAACATATTCCAGTCATGCCACCACCGCGGAAAGTTATCACCTAACTTTCCGGCGGCCAATCAGCTATTTATAATGGCCGACGTCGAATTCATCGCCCGCCGCCGCGCCGGGCTCGCTCGACCGGCGCGCGAGGCGCCCCAACAGGAGGGCTTTGTCGCGTCGCTTGACACGACCGCTGGGTTGCCAGCTCGAGCAGATTGCTTTTTCACCCTGGTGCTGACGCTGACAGGGGACATTTGTCGGCTGTCGGGCCCTCGCCGGGCTGTACAAAGGCGCGGTATTCTCCCCGGGTTGGCGCTGCTGCAGTGCGGTGGCGGTGGAGGATTTATGGTACGGTAGTCGTCGAGGTGGTGTAATGGTTGGTGACGACGCCACTGTCACACTGTGACACCGAGCGATGTTCCTGACTGTCAGCTGACTGTCACACTGTCACAGTGGAAGTCCAGGACTGTCGACACGACTGTCACACTGACCAATGCTTTCAAAATGCCGATGGGTTGTCCTGTGTCCAGTCAAGAAACAGTAAATTAGCACCGGTGAAGCACGTTAGGTGACGATGTGGCCAGTGCATCATATTTTGGCGTTCAGTATATATCTCAATCAAGCCAATAAAGTGTCAGTGACTGATGTAGAAACACTTTCACTTCTGCTCTTTTTATTGTTATTTTTTTAATGTGAGCTCAATTATCACTTTTACCGTAAAACGCCAGTTGAATTATTTACAGTTTTAGGTCGACCCTAGACGTCACACGGGCTGATATGCGTGTGATGTCCCATACCACACACTCTCCAACTCCAACCGGCATGGGTATCTCTT